CAAACTGATTTCTCCAACCAACATAAAATACCACCTCTTCCAATAAATCTAAGTACTACTCTTCATAATTACCTCAAATTCTCAAAAAATCATAATGATTTTAAAATTCACCAAATTGGGCTGTAACACACCCAGAGTAGAATCAAATCCAAATACTTTTAAAGAAGACCCCTTGCTATATTGTACACATTCTACTACGCTGAAAGTATGCACAACAAAATCAGTATCTACACACCTTTTTCCAGTGGGTCCGTCCCCAACAATAGAATATAATGGCACCGCAGATGATGATGACAATGCGGCATTATCCATACCTCCTAAACTCCACTGAGCTATATTCTTGAAACCCAACAATTTACGAGCTCTTAAAGATATTGTACCAAACTAAATGTCCACTACGTTACTGAACCTATGCTGATTGACTATTTTTTTATTCTGGACAATCCCGCAAAATGTATAATTAAGACATTTTTTGTCCCCTAATACATCCCGAGCATCCTTACAAACTTTCAAAGATCCTCATCCACTAAAGAACTCATAACCGTTTGAATCGATAGACAACGAGATGAGACTCTCCTTCAAATTCGGAACATGTCGAACCTGGCCAAGTATTCTAAGTATCTCATCCAATAGCTTCAATCTGACCGTACTAATTCTAACAAGCCGACAAGGTGTGTTGTTTCCCATAACCACGTCACTTTTGGAAATAGTTTCATATGTAGTAAACAAGTCCTTATTAGGATATGTATAAAACACACACGTTGAATCCAGAATCCAATCCTCCTATGGTTTAAACTCGATGTCAGAAATAGCCAAGAGATCTCCCTCACTTACAATATTCTCTGCGAGGTCTGCTTCACCTAAAGTCTCTGATTTCTTCCCATATTGACTTACAACCAACATTTCTTTATTCTGCAATTTGTAACAATCCTTCTTCATGTGCCCTCCTTCTTGCAAAAGTTACAAATCTGATTACTAAATTTAGACCTGAATCTGTCCCTTCCAAAACCACCATGAGCAACACGGTCTTCTCCCTCTCTGGCCTTACACACCAGATGCTTCATCTTCTCTTTTGAAAACAAAGCATCATACACCTCCTCTATGGTGAGAGTATCACGACTATACAAGATCATATCTCTAAATGAAGAAAACAAAGCTGGCAACGAACACAATATGATTAAGGCCAAATCTTTTTCAACATACTTTACTTCCAAAGTTTCCAAATCAGCGACTATCTTCTTAAATACGGCCATGCGTTCTTCCAATGATTCTCCTTCTGCCATTCGATGAGAGTATAAACGCTGCTCAAGATGCAATTTGCTTATCAGACTTTTAGTCATACACAATTGCTCCAACTTCAAACATAAAGAAGTTGTTGAACCCTCTTTCAATACATCCTAAATAATTATATTCGATAGATGAAAATGAATGTGAGAAACTGTCTTATTATCCTTCCATAATTTCTCCTCCGCAGTTAAAGTTGCGAGTATTTTATCAAATTCCAGCAGCGCATCATCCAAATCCTGTTGTGCGAGTACTGCACGCTTGTTTTCCTGTCATAGCGAAAATCTAGTGCTCCGATCCAAAAACAGAATGTCATACTTCATGGAAGTTATCACGAACAAAAACCTCGAACAAATCAAACCATACGCTCTTGCGGAACTGCTGAATCTAGGCTCTAATACCACTTGAGTTAATTATACCCAAAATTTCTGATACAATTGTTGAAAATTCGAGGATCACATATTGTTTGATACTATTTGATATGAAACAAATCATCGGATTGAGATATTGAAGTTATATGACATAATAATGAAATATTTAATCACAAGCAAAAGAATTAAAGAAGATAAGAAAATATGACAGGAATTAAGAGATTGTATTGCACCACAAATAATGAAGATGGGGAAGTATTACAATAATCCTAAAAGTTAGTAATCAATTTGCTCACACACTATAAAATTGTATAGAAGAGCCTAATATTTATAGGCAACTATGTAGGGCGACTTCCAAACTCTAACAAATGAATTGTAATTGAAGTAGAATGTCAAAAACGTATTAAAACTCGAAAAGGGCTTGGGCTGGATAACCATGTTGCTCGAGCGATAAGCCAGTGACAGGTTTCATCACTCGAGCACCAAGCGGTGACAGACGAGGGACCAAGTATCGGGAGAAAACTTGGAGGTGTAGTTCGAGCGACCGGCTAGCGATTTTTTTTCCAGTCCATAACCTCTTAAAGTCCAATAAAAATTCCAACGCCAAAAAGGTTTCCAAATATAATTTCAACTTGAATAATACTCTAATAGCATTCAAAATTGAATTCATCTTGACGTGCACTTCAATTACTTCAACAAGAAATTCGAGTCATATCCAAATTCTAACATTTGTTATCCCCTTAGCTGTTCGTTCAATAAAATCTTGATGCTTTACTACAATTTTAGGTTCAAGATTTTATATAAACTGTGCAAATTATTCTTGTTTTAAAGAAATGACTCTTCAATAATGAATGCATCTAACTAAATATTAAAGAGGGAGTTATGGGTATTGTTCACAAGTCGTGAGCCAAGCCAAGCTGAGCCGAGCCAAATGGCTTTACGGCTCGGCTCGGCTAATTTTTTTTTTATACGTTTGATTCAATATTTTAATTTATAAATATTCGTTTTAAGCGATTTAAAATTTGTTGGAAATGTTGAAGTGTGGTCATGATAAATATATGATCGATAAATATTAAATATCAAAAATAATTTTACATTAATTGTGAAACGTAAAGTCGTGATTGTTTATGTTTCTTTTCAATCACAACCTCATTCCAATGTCCTTTTTTCGAACTTTATTTTCCTACAATTTTTCGTTTGATTCGATATTTCACA